CGAGACCAAACAATGGCTTTCTTAGAATGTATCTCAAACAGCTGCTCTGCCATTGCAGCAAAGTTAAGAATAAACCTTGAGAAACGCTGCATTGATCCCAGTAGTGAACAAAGTTCATGTCAATTCTTCGGAGAAGATGTTTGGATAGCAACGAAAGCAAGCTAGGGCACTGCAAAAGCCAGTTTCCTCAACTAAATAAGCAAGACAGGAACGCGTTGTGGTACCAAAATGCACTTTGAGGCGATAAATGATACATTAAATAAACAAAATCTTTCCACCAGTGCACAAAGTCTCTCGTCGTGAATGGATTTCGTAGGCGGGTATTCAATGACAACAACGTGGTTAGCTGAAATAGCGGTCAAACCGGTGTCCACAGATTGCATTAAACCTTAGAAAATGGGAGGTGACACATTGAGTTCAAAGGGCAAAAACATTTAGCAAACTAGCCCAATTGGAGTACGAATGATAGTGGTAGCACTAGACGGGTAAGCGAATTGTAAACTAAGCAACTCTCAAGTCGAGTCTCGAACAACACTTTGATCCGCTCAACTGTTAAGGAATATCCTCGGGCTCAACTGTAATGCGGCACCCTTGCAACGATTAGTTATTCAGTGTAGCTCTGTAGACGTCGCAAATTCTAGGAGCCTCACCATGACGTTTGAGTGGAGTAACGATTGGTGTGGCCCAAGCGTCAATATGAACCGGCGAAATTACGCCTTTTTTAGCCACTTCGTCTTCTGCTTCCAGCTCAGACTCCTTAAGACTGAAAGGAACACCGGAGTGCCCTGAAGATCATGCGTGACAAGTTCAACACACATGTCCCCTGAGGCATTAGAACATTTTGCGACATGCAAAGGAAGGTTTGATTAAGGTGTGTCAGGAAACATTGAAAACAAATTATTTAAACCTCACGCGCTTCAGGCCTATGGTGGATGGACCGAAATAAATGACAAGAACTGTAGGTTTGATCGGATTAGACTGACCGTTAGAAAGCAATAATCCACACGAACCAAGGATAGAAAATGAATGTCCATTAAGCCCCCTAATGAAACAACCGTGAGCCTAAGTCGAACTTGGGATTTGATTTATCAGCTAGAACTTGAGAATAAAAGACTCTACACTGCCGCTATCTATATCACAAAAGATTATTTGGTAGTGTGGCAATACTGATCACAGCAAGACCATTGGACTGGAACACATCTGAAATATGCTGCTCACCTGATGCTTTTTGTACAAAACAAGTACTTGTACACCGACTAAAAATTTGAAAATGCCTATGCCTTACGCACTTATAATACTTACACATGAATAAATAACCTTATATTCCGGAACATTTCAAGGGATGCAAAACCGAGAATGATAAATATTGGATAAGCAATGGCGTTTCGCAATAGCCGGATCGTGAGAAGCAGCATACTTAGCGCTGGGTTGATAATGAAGGACCGAATATGATTAACAAAAGTGTGTAAACAGGTGTGAGCCTATGCACCTAAATTAGTGATGTGTGAACTGGGGAGACTTGCCGGTGTGATGCCAAGGGCAGTGACTTTAGTCATTGGTGAGTCACATCCGCCAAGTCGCAGTGTAGTTAAGCAGACACCTGTGGCTTTTATAGGGAGAACCCCTGCCAGGCCGAACCGCACTATGTCTTGGAACACTACCATCAATCGTAAGTTGAGTCAACTAGCACTGGCAAGGCCACCTTCGAATCCATTTATCTTGCAGCCATGGGCAGTCACGCTGCCTCCATTAACTTCGTTAGCTGACAAAGTGTATTTAGTCCGGATCCACAGTGGATGGGTGAGTGCAGCGATCCTGTTGATGATGTTCAAGGTTCAAGGGGATGGCTCGGGAGCACGCTGAGGATTGGGGAGGATTTGGAAGTATTAGTGTATTTTGAATGCCTGCGTTTCCAGATCCAGGCGGTTGACCCCCGGCCAGATGGGTTGTAGGCACTTCCTTCGTAGAGAATCTTTGCTGTTAATCCTTCCATCCTTTAGATGACTGGGGAGAGAAAAGGGTAGGCTGAGCAATTGGAAGTGCGGAACTTGCGGGTTAGTCTAGTATGAGTAGACCCACAAGACTTACAGCCGTTTCAACGTGTTTTTTACTAGCAGTAATAATTTCCGTAGGTATGTCAATGTGAGTAGCAGTCATTTAATTGCCGCAGACATCGATTAACAGGTTGTATCTTACTATCGGAGCTGTATAACGTAACAGCTTCTACTCTCACTGCCGCTCGCACAGCTGAAAATTGCTCGCAGAATGCTCTGATGGATTGAACAGTTGGATGGGTCAATTGAAAAAACGCCGTTGCAAATTGCAATGGTTGAGTACAACAGCCAAACGCTCTCGAAGTTGTATATGTATCTGGTCGCCAAAATTGCAGTGAGCAGCTTGCGTCTGTAGTTACAGGAGGGAAACCGCGAACATCCTGGTTATCCTTTCGTAAAAGAGTGTGAAATCTAACCTCTTGCGCTGCCTTAAAGCTTGATGACACATGTGCATAATAGATAGTTAAATAACAATTACATGATATAGAGGTGCAACAGTTCAGCCACTGTTAAAATTGACCGACTGCGTTCCGGAAGCATTTCTTCCGCTTTTCTGTGTGCCTGTTTTTGTCCGTTGCCTTTTCGCGAGGTTGTCACAAATACGGCGTCCAGCACCAAAGGAATCGTCCATAGCTGCGACATTTATACCAAACGAGGCAAGGAGTGGAAGATTAGCCGTCGCTTTTACAACTTACCGACCGAGCAAATGATTCCTTATCTCGCAAGGATAAAATTTCCTTGTGGCCTGAACAACTGAGTTCCATCGCCAAACCATTCCTTTCTCCCTTCGACTTCGTAACGCACATTCTCCTGCTGATGTAAGGCCAGCCCAATTAACTTCGGTCATTTTTCGCTACTAGATACCTTCATCCGAAGCTTTTTACTCCGCTTTGCCTGTTCATTTGGCATTGGATATCCACCCGTCCAACCCATTTTACAAATTACCCCGGGAGGAAGTCCGATATGTTTCGGGACACTATCCTATCCTTCAGGGCTTCAACATATTGCTTTGGATATCTCTTGGAGACTTTCCGCGGTCCTACAGAGGAACAACACATTACGTTCTACAAAGTATTCAATTCATGATCTACCAATCGAGCCGAGCCATTCAGTTGGGACAGAACAGGAACCAAGAACGCAATGGGCTCACGCCTAACGTATCAACCAGCAGAAAAATTGGACGCAACTTGACTGCGAATAACCAATCAAATAAACACTCAACAAGAAGCACAGCCAGTTACAACTTACAATTCAATGGATCGTGTTTCCGCACCTGGTGGGTTTTCGCCTGACACGCGTTCTCCCTATAAAAAGCCACCAATGTAAGTTTAACAACACTGCGACGTGGCGAAGGTGACGGGCCACCAAATAAAGTCACAGCCTATAACTGCACACTGGCAGCTCAACAAGCGGCACCATTCTATATACGTTCGTTACACTGGAACTTGTACATCTGCATATACAGTCGTCTCTTCTTTTTTAGGTTTCACGCATATACACTCATCGCTTTACGATCTCACCGTTGTTTGCTTTACGCACGCAAGAACTTTGTATATTGTCGCACCTCTCGAGCTAGCTCTTAAACTTTCTTCCGTTTGATCATTCAGGATACTTAAACTATTATTTGCTGAGGTCCCGATCTCACGTAAGCTTAATTATTGTTTCGCTTTTCCACCATTGAACCATTCCAATCATGGACGTATGAATAATTTTCTATTGTCGCTGTCATAATTGCCATAAAATGTCTACCGTTACGCCTACCTGCTCAGGCCTTCATGGGCTTGCCTCGCATATTTGAGAATAAATAATTATTTATTTGAGTGTTAACCGCAGATTTTTGTAGCAAATGGCAGAGTACTTGACGGGTCAAGGAAAGTTGGATTCTTCAGAAGAGAATAAGCACCCTGTGCAATAGCAATAAGAAACGTAGCGTTTTCTCTTCATCATTCAGCGGTTTCTTAAGAATTCACCAAGTTTCAAATCGTTCCAGAGTATCTTACATTTCATGAGAGCAGCAATGGATATGCAGAATACCCAAGTTGCAAAGAACCACTAGTAAAAATTTTGGATCGCGACGCCAATCGTGGTTTTTAATTACACAACCGTAGTCAAAATGTAGTAGGCTCAAACCCAGGGCTAGCAACGGCGCGAAACTAACAACGCACAGCGCGCACAGCAGAAAACGTATTAGGGAATTCGGAATCACGCCTAATTCGAAAGCACGGTAAAACAAGCGGGGTTGAATATAGTTCATGCCCAATCAACACAGTAATTTGGAAGTTGTTTGCCGCTGGTCAATGCTAGGCGCAGGTAGCAGTGAAAGCTGATGCAATAAGAAGTTGCGCTTAGAAAACATTGTTAAAGGTGATTAGCAAATTTACAGCAAAATATGTGCATCTATCTCGCGCAGAGTTACCACTGGATCGCCTTGGAACGTGAGGTGACACCTTCCCACCGTCAAAGCAGTTTGAGGTCTTGTTTTCCGAGTGCAAAAATCAAACCTCATCACGTGATTATACAAACACGTTTCCTCACAAAATACCCACCTAAGACACTTAAAAGTATTGCAGTCGGAAAATGGCGTAACCGCCTCACGGTCATGGTAAAACGCACTCTCGAAAACACAAAGAAAAGATTGGCTAAGAAGCACGTTAACTGGGTTTGTGAAACTTGAATGTTCACGGAAGGAATAATTGCAGAAAGTCATGAAAAATGTAGTGCAAAATAGAGGTGAACGAACCTTAGACAGTTTGAAGCAGTAAGAGTACCTAACTTCCCCGTGCTGATGGCGAATGGCATGTAATAAAACGTGAAACATTTAATTTTTAGGCAGCAGAGTTCTATTGCTGCCACTACCACGTGCATGATTAGCATCGAGTACTTTAATTGCCATTGAAAATTATTCATAATTCAATGTATAATGACCCCTAAGTCATATTTTTGTGGCGTCATTTCTTAACACGTTTGGCTACGGTTTTTTAACAGGCCATCGTGGCCTGTTCGTTTAAGCGGTTACGCATCCTGGAAACGGGCGGCCTGCGCAAATTCTGTCGTTATGCATCGGGAGGGTTCTGCCGTAGCTTCTAACGGTTTTCGTGATCGCGATTCTCCACGAGGGAGAAAATACAGTCGCTCGCGTTCTCGTTCAAGGTATATTTCATTGTTATTTTCCATGTTTTTCTTAGGTCCTATTCTCATCGGTATCGAAGCCGTAGCGACAGCCGGGATTATGGACGCCGTAGTCCTGGTTACGGATATCGCAGCGCGAATCGTCGGTGAGATTTTGTACTTTCTTTTCAGCCTGCTTTTAAAAGTTTCTTAACCGTACTTTTTTGTTAGCTAACCCTTAGTGCTACGGCGTGCGACGCTCGTTAGGCGGTCCAGATAGTTGTCATATATTTCGTTGTATCTTTAACACAACTTACTTGCCTATAAGTCTAATTTTTATTACAATCGTATTTGTAGTCATCGCGAGTGACCGTTGGAACGCGTAACCCTTGCTACACCGGAGGAACGCAAATCATTACTGCGGTTTGCGTTCCGACTTAAGGATGATGGTGTCAGCGTTCAACCGGACCTTCCACTGACATATAGATTTAAGGGAGGCTACCAAAAACCACAAGACTAGACCGGCGGCTGGTGAGCAAAGCCTCCGTCTGGTGGGTTTTCAGGTGGTCAGCCGAAACTTATTTTCCGCCCTACCAGAACTCATCTTAATGGCGCACGACCCAGGGATGGTCGTGCTGACTTCCTTGAGGTAGTACTTAGTAACGTGCGTAGCCTAAGGGACAAGGTGCACGAGTTGGGTCTACCTGTAGACAAATCTCGTCCCGACATACTTTTTTTCACTAAAACATGGTCTCCGGATATCACGGATGGCGAGGTATGTTTACCTGTCTATGCGCTGCTTAAGACTGATCGCTCCGTTGGTCGCTAAGGCGAAGGCGTCGTATTGTATGTGAGCTGTAAATTAGGTGTGCCGAGGACCTGCACATTCCAGTTGTCGGATCAGACTGTTGAATCCCTGTCGGCTGTTTTGTGCACTTCCTCCCTGTTTACACTTGTAGTGATGTACAGGAGTCTTGGAAGTTCTTCCAGTGGGATACTTGACTTTATTCGCACTTAGCCCGCGAATAAGTGTTTACTTCTAGGGAATTTCTACCTTCCTGAAGTCTGTTGGGCCGATCTTTCTTGCAATTCGGTTTCAGAAACATTCGGTGTAGACTTTCTTGAGCTGACCCTCCAAGTGCCTTTGCACCAGTTCGTGGACTTCCCCACTAGGTATATGTATAGCGCGATGATCGTGCGCTTATATCCGGCACTAGACAGTCAAAGAGGCAACGGGTAGAACACACAAAAGTAATCCAGAGAAATGTTTATTGGACGGGAGGAGTTAGCTAATGCTAAAAATAGGGCACCAGAAGAGAGCTAATTAGGGAGGATGTAGTTGATCGCCGAGTGTGTGGACGGAGCAGCGTTCGCAGTCAAGTCGAGCGCCAAAGGCGAATATCGTATTCGTGTATCAAACAAATGGGAACAACGTTCCAACAGGTAAACCGCCTCATCATCATTATACACGTTAACTAAAGGTGGGAAACACCAACTACTGTGCCACGATCCATAATGGAAGGGGAAAATAAATACAACAGTTGCATACCAGCTGAGCTACCAGCAACGGATAAGCATCGTTCCGGTAAGCTACCAGCCAGCTACTAGGCAAAAAGAAAAATTATGTACAATTATATTACGCTATGAAATGAGATCGTGGTTGGATGAAGAGGCTAAAAGAGATGGGGAGGGACAAAGAAAATCACAACACGAACGCCACTGAAGTCGGTTCCTTGCCATGTCAGCAAGTGCATCTAGCCAAACGTGAGTTTCTTTGTCCCTCCCCATCCCTTTTAGCCTCCCCCTTCACCTACGATCTTATTTCTTAGCGTAAAACAATAATTTTTTCTTTTTGCCTAGTAGCCGGCTGGTAGCTTACCGGATCGATGCCTATCCGTTGCTGGTAGCTCAGCTGGCATGCAACTTTTGTATTTATTTTCCTTTTTCATTTATGTATTGCGGCACAGTAGCCGAGGTGTTTCCCACCTCTAGCTGACGTGTATAATGATGATGATGAGCTCCGAAGTAAGGGCCTTCATTCCTCTGGACCAAGTCATCGCTTACCCACCCCTCTTTTTCCATCCACACCCCCGGTGAGCGAACAACGCGCGTCGCGGAAGTCGGTGGGCTGGCATGCGCAACACGTGGCCTAGCAATCGGAGCCTGGTGCGTGAAATGACGGGGCTGAGCGGTTCAGTTCCTTTTTCTGTGCCGTAAACTGGGCGTCGAACACGCTCGTTATTCACGCGACCTTCCCACCAGATGTGAGCCAAACTGCGCAGGCACCGATATTCAAACGTGACTAGCCTCTTTATGTCCGCCCATCTTAGGGGCCAGATTTCGCAACCGTACAGTAAACTCGAACGTACCTGTGCATTGTACACTCTACCCTTCAGGGCGAGAGTGAGGTCGCGCCGCCGCCATAGGTGGCGAAGGTTAGCAAAAGCACTTCCAGCTTTTGATATACGGTTCGTGATCTCATCTTCAATCCCAAGGGCGCTTATACAACTTCCTAGGTAGTTGGATTCTTGGACTTCTAGCAGATCCCCACCAAGGGTCAGCGTAGGAGGCGGTCCAGACCAATCTTGGAGAAACGCTTTGCACTTCAATGGTGCAAAGCAAAGCCCGAAGCGGCTGACGGCCATTGCTAGTCTGTCCAGCGCGGCTTGGCACGTCTGGAAGCTGTCACAGATAAGGGCAATGTCGTCTGCATACTCTAAGTCAAAAAGTCGTTCTCTTGGGAGTAGCTCCACAACTAAGTCATGTCCCGTAAATGCAGCCTCCATAACTACGTCAATAGCGAAGTTGGAGAGGAAAAGTGACAACGGAAATCCTTGTCTCACACCGCAGGAGATATTGAAGGGCGACGACAGCTTGCCGTAAGCCCTCACTCTGCCTGAGCTACGCGCGTATAATGCTCGGATATTATTTACATATTTCTCGGGCACACCTTTCTTGGGTAGACAATTCCCATGGGCACGTTGATCAACCGAAATTAAGGCGCCTTTGATGTCGAAGAACACGACTACGGCGGGCCGCCAATGTGTGTGACGGTACTCCAACAACTGACACAAGTTGTGAATGTAGTCGATGCAGCCACGACCCCGACGAAACCCGGCTTGCTTTTCATGAATCTGGCTTTCACTAGCGCCAGTCAGTCTGTGAAGGATTATAGAGGCGAGTAATTCGGAGGCGATGGAGATCAGACTGATTCCTCTATGGTTGCCACATTCCCAACGCGAGTTTCCTTTGAAGGTGGGAACAATAACGGAGCGGCTCCAGTCGGTTGGGGCAGTCTCTTGCACCCACAGTTTCCCTAGTAATTCATGTAAATCATCAACAAGAGCAGAGCCCCCGAATTTGAAGAGGGCTGGATGAAGGTCATCTGGTCCAGCAGCTTTATTCAACTTTAACAGTCCGATCTCATGTTTGACTTCTGAGTGAGAGAGTGGATCCAAAGGGACAGGCCACGGGGCGGGGCCATCACTGGCCGGCGAAGAATCGAACAATTCTGGCCGATTAAATTTCTTTTCAAAATGCTCAGCCCTACACTCCAAACGCTTTGACAAATTGTGGATAGGCTGTCCATTCTCGTCACGTATAGTTTCACTAACGCCAGGTCTTCTACTGCCCTTTTCCCGTATCAGACGGAATAACTTACGATGGTTACCAAGGGCAGCGGCCATTTCCATCTCTGATGCACCATGAGACCAACAGGATTCACGGTCTCTCTTCAGGCTAGCACGGAGGTTGGCCCAGAGCTCTTTACGGGTTTCATTGTGTTCGCTTCCAGCCGGAATAGGCTGGCGAGCATCGATAACTTCCAGAGACTGCGAAGAGACCCAATGTATGTGTTGGTGACTCACCACATGAGGATTTTCCTGCTGCTAGTAACGTCTGGTGAACATGTGACCAGTGACCATCAATTGTCTCCAGTGAGCGCTTACTCAGCTCGCATTTCAGCGTACTTTGATAGGCATTCAGAACAGCTGGTTTCGCCAGTTGGCTGGTGTCAATACGCTCACAGCGTCGTCGTGGGCGTCCGCCAAAACGCATCCGCAGGTCAGCACATACAAGTGCATGATCGGTGTCCACTCATGTGTTCCAAATCGAGCGACAGTTTTGGATGCAGCCTCTCCATCGGTAACTTATCGCAATGTGATCGTTTTGCGTCCAAGGCTGGTTCGAGGCTGGTGGGCTCCAAGTCACCCTCCGGCGAGTGCTGTGTCGGAAGTTAGTGCTCGCAAGAAATAGGCGCGCATCTTCACACAAATACTGAATACTGTATTTTGGAGCAAGTAGAAAATAATTCTGTACAACTCCATCGGGTGATAATCAAAAAACATTTAAAAAAATAAACACGTCCGGTGGTTATCCTAAGATGGTTCAGCAACTCCTTCTGTAGCACACAAAATGCTTGTTTACACAGTGAGTCACAAATGGATGATATCGTTGTCAAGTGGCAACCGTTCTCTGAAACGTATGTTAGCGAAGTGTAAATCCAACAAAGATTTGAATTTCTGCACAGATTGGGCCTCGACGACGTGTTCTGGCAGACTGTTCCAGGCGTGCAAAACCCTCCGCTCGAAACACAGGGGGTGTGGGATTTTTTCAGATCAGGTACCACGAGTTTGTACCTGTGCCCACGTGTGGTGCATGGTACTCGCAAGTGGGGTAACGACCTTAGCATGGGGAAATGACCGAGATGTAAAATACGGTAGGTCATGATAAGATCCACTCGAACACGGCGATATGACAAGGTGTAGAGCCCAAGTTTCATGCACCGGTTTTCATACGATAAGCCTCTCAAGCTGGGGATCAACTTGGTGGCGATGTGTTGTACTCGTTCAATCTTTTGCGCTTCGCCGCGAGTGATCGGACAGTATGCAGGCGAGCCGTACTCTACCATTGGTCTGACGATGGAAGAGAAGAGGCGAGTGGCGACGTCCTCAGACCAAGTGCAGAAGCTGCGTTTCAGCGCCCAGAGCATGCGCAGTCCGTTTCGATACAGTTTGTTGGTGTTGTCGACGGACTTCAAGTCGCAGCGTGAGAGTACACCTAGGTCTTTCACGGAAGGTGTGGGATGCAGTGGTTGGCCGTCTAGGGTGTACGTTCGTCCGTGAACAGCCTTCCCGAGATTCATGAATAGGGACTTTGCCGGTTTGAC